AAGATTTTGGATACCAACATTGTTAAAATTACTATCCAAAAAATGGGTTACCAGATCTTTGGGGGGATACCAGATTTCAATACCTGGTATCCCGAATGGATACGATAATAAAAATCTAATTTCGACCCCTGTGTACAATACAAAGTACATACAAAGTTGCATATATGGAAGTGCAAGTTGAATGCACAACACTTGGTTTGATGTAATTTCTTTGAGTTTCACATAATAAATCGCAGTGAATGTAAATACTATTAAAATAAATGTGATAAGTAATACTAATAATAAAGCCAAATTACTGATTTACCCAAATTGTATCTGTGCCGTGATTATGTTTTTGTGTGCACTTAAACAGAATTGCCATGTCATTTACCCACATAGGTCACAGAAGTTACCCCCCCCCCCCTAAGAATATGCCCAGGATATGGCCTTGTGGGCTATAGCATGTACCTTAGTGATACAATAACCACTTAATTTACTAGCATTTCCAAGGGCATCCATCCATATAACACAAGCAGCGAAGCTGGCACGATGATTGACCATGATGTCAATGGATCAGAGATCGTTGTAGACAATGGCACTACTACCCACGTTGGCACAGACGGCGATGGCTATCATGAAAGTCAAACAGAGGCGGAGAGAAGGGAGCTCAGGCGTCGCTATAGAGACATGCAGGAGGACATTCAAAGTGAGCATATCTCATGTAGTAAACACTAGTATATATATACATGATAGCAGTTTATAATTTAGACTTGGAAATAATAATAGGGTTCTCTCAAGGAATTTTAGAAGACATATTGGGTAATAACTAATTCATACCAAAACCAATACCCCTAAGCTCCGTAGAGCTCTAGCATCTCTTAAGACGTATCTCTTATCTAATTGGTAGTGACTAGTCCCATCAAGTTTTCCATGTATACATTACAGAATGTCAGGAGAACATTATATCAACAAAATCAAGCTCACTTATAGAAAAGCTGGACAATGTCGAGGCTATCTTCTCAAATGGTAAGAAATAGCACATTTTTCTCAATACGTAAGCACAATTGAAAATGTTAATTTGATTTTTTGCAATTGTATTATTTTCAGCTTGTCCCTTGTAAGGCAGCAACATTTCATAGAGCCCGATTGAAACGCATTTGTAGTTAATTTAGTGAGGTTCTTATGAGTGGCTACATAAAATATTGCATGGGTATAGCTGCTATTGATTGTCTGGGAGTCAAAATATATACAAATACTATGATGATGATTTGTTTTAGTTCACCAGACAAGAGAAGCATTGCTAGATGCGCAGGTGCTCAGTGCAATCTCATTGATGGGAAAGCAGCACATTCAGTCGCTGCACACCAACCTTGTCACATTTGAACCTGTAGAGTTTGCAGAGAAATTGGTATGTAGTATATGGGTTGTGCACCTAACTATGAAGTTATCTCCCTACTAGTCACATAATCACACATCCCTAGCCTTAAAGCAATATAGTTGCTCAACTATATGTTGTATACTTACCACTGATTTCTATTACTTTTTGTGATGCAAGTTTATACAATATAGACTGTAATAAGATGTGCATGACTATTAATTTTGACCAATTTAATGCTCTATAAAGGACATTGTGTAAAATGCTGTGAGATGGATTAAATAAGAAGAAGGTGTTTTTGTTTACCCCACGCAGATAACATGCATGTCAGGTCACAGGAGACAGGGAGGTGACGTGGAGATTACAGAGGACAACTGGAAAAACTTTGGGATCAAATATGCCAACAAACTGCTAAAGCGATCTCCCAGCTTTCATTTTATGTATGTGCTATAGCAGAGAAACTAAAATAATTTTGTGGGTTTTATAGCCACGTTTCTACTGCAATCTGTAAGTCTATAGTGCTTGACATAATGGTTCAAAACGATGTGTTGTAATACAATTGGTCTGGTAGTCAGGTGCCTTGTGGAATGAAATCATTCTCCTAAATAAACGTGTGATAGCGACATTTTATCTGCATTGCAGGCTGGGAGCATTTGAAAGAGGAGATGTGAACCTCGTTCGAACAAGAAGGGTTGGTCAGAAGGACGTCGGTGACGGAACCAAAACAGCGCCAAAGAGAGTAAGCAAGTTGATGGCACGGATAGGATATCAAACATAATGAAATTTAATTGACATTGCTTGCTATATACTAAAGTTATACTCGATTATGAATTTTGCAAGTAGCCGCAAACTTGTTTTCCATAAAGATTGCTGTAAACGTTGTTGTTTGGCTATAGGAATTGTATAGCGATATTAACAATATAGGAAATTTGTGCAAGTTGCAGAATGAGGTTGAATTTGTTTCCTTTCAGTCAGTGACCTAATATTTTTCAGTTCTCTTACACCAAAGTATTATTGCTAAAATCAACGGGATTGGTTCTATAACATGTGTTGCATACTAGTAGAGTTAGCGAGACAACTCTGCACATTTAAATTTTGGAAATCATTAAATTAACTATATCTATATATATACAAGTGAAAAAAGCAAATTCTATATTAGAACTCTTACTGACATTAACCCTGATGCTTGATCTGGTGGTTATAATTGATGATGAGTGAGAAGGTGTGTACTTGAATTCTTTTATCTCAAAACAGTTGCAGGAGACAGTTCAAATTGAACAGGAAGCCACCACAGAAGAGATTGAGAGAATATTGGGCATACTACAAAGGCTATACAAGCAATACAACGGTATTATTCTCACAAATGCTGCTTCAAATATGTCGTAGCAACTATAATGGAATGGAATGTCAGAGTTACATAATACTATGATAAATTCTCAAGCAGATTATTGCATTATATTCGAACAACAAACAACAACAAACAAAAACATTAAACATTGATGATGATGTGTTGTAAATAGGTGCACAGTGTTGGTTAAGTGTGTAATTTCGCAAATGTATTTAACTTCTGATAACTGCGTATCATTTGCAATTAAGCTCTTTATTAGGACGAGTAGTGAAATTTACAACCTAATATGAGTTTGATGATAAGATTATGTACTTATAAATGACAAGAAGTGTCAGTCATTCTAGCATTCATCAAAAGTGCAGATTAGATTGACACATTTGTCATTTAACGTTTGTTTTTGGGACTAATGTATGATATTCATTGACAGGCAATTGAGTAAAAGATGCGTACCCTGATCATTTTAACTTCTGTAAACACTAATATTGACTTTAGTGTGATGTGGTTTGTTACATGCTGTGTGCACAGGTCCCGTTGATTACTTCGAGCTAGTTGTGAATCCTGACTCCTTCGGACAAACAGTGGAGAACATCTTTCACGTGGCATTTCTGGTTAGGGTAGGTATATATTTTTTTACGTAGGTTTTCTTCTATAATCCTGTGACATGTATCTGCCGAAGATTGGTCAAAATTGGACGTGTGATAGAGAAATCCGATCTGGCAGTTGCCCGTAGCTTAGGGGCATGATTGTATTTATTCCCACATTGTCTTGAACCAACCCTATACTAGCCTGACACTGTCACATTCACTACCATGCAGGACGGCCTGGCAGAAATATACTTAGATGAAGACAAGCTGCCTGTAATCAAGCCTGTGATGGAGAAGAACAAGCATGAAGAAGATCAACATAACATGGGACCTCGAAAGCAATTCATAATGTCTCTCACAATGGATGAATGGAAGGTTTGTGAATCCTGGTTGGCACGTTCGTCGCAATGCCTAGTGACCAGACATTGTTTTGATGGAATTAGCACAGTGATACCTGAGCGGAAAATAGAAAGAACTGTTTCTGGCAAATTTTGGGTTTTGAACCTGGCAAACATTTTAGTTTTTTAATTCACAGCTCACATACGGTGTACACCTTGAAATGCCAGTTCCTCGGATAAGCTTATACATGTAGGTGTATAGGTTTGCAGCGGTTTCTTAAGTTCTTTTCCATTGCTGTCCTATCTGCCAGTGAGCGAATTGCTGTGCTGATCAGATGGCAATTGAATATTGAATATTTAATGAGTTGAGTTTCCTGTGCATTTAGGAAATAAAAAAGACGTTTCAAATTCAACGCCCACTGATCCCAGCCAGAACTGTCAGGCAATCCAAAAGCGTTGCACCAACAGATGAAGTAAGTTTTGCTGTGTTACTGCTTAGGTCTGTTTGCTATAAATAACTACTTTATAAGCAATCATTTCATTTGTGTACTTTCGAGCGGTTTCTTAGAAGACTTGTACATGTCTAAAATCCAAGGGCCTCTTGTCAGAAGCAAGATTAATCTTAACATTAACTATTTCTTGTGGATCAGACCTTTGTACACTGCGTATGAGAAACTCGTCACTTTACCATGTTTCTGTCAATGGTCCACCAGAATATGTTAATGTTGAGATGGTAAGATTTTTTCTGACAACAGGCTCGATGTCATACTTATTTCGTAATGATTTCGGCATTGTTGTTGTGCATGCGCTGTGAGCACACTATGCTTTCCTCTGAGTAAATATTTTTGTTCTATACTCTGCAAGTTTCGTGTAATCCATTACATACAATATGACTTCCACTGTTGTGACAGTAATTGTAAAAAGACCGTTGCTGAACTATGAAACAGGTGCATGTGTTTTTATGGAACATGTTGTTTACATTGTGTATTTCTTACAGGCAGGACCAAGCCTAAGAAATTGAAGCTGCACTTAATCGAATCAAGGAAAATATATACAGGGATGAGAATCTTCCGCGGATCTGTGGAAATCCACTGATTTCACAGTCCCAGGGACGATTTTGTAAAACGTCTAAATCCGTTGAGAGAACATTTTAGGGGGGGGGTTAGAATGTACAAATTTTTATTTTAGAGTCCAACAGTACTGCAGATGGGGTCGTTGTCGTATCAGGTACTACAGATATGTACCCGAGGTAGTTTTAGGTTGTTTAGTATTGTGTTTATTGTATCCCCCGAACGAAGTTCGTGGGGATACTGGGTTTGGCATCGTCGCGCCGCCGCCGCAGAGATTTCCTTGTGAACGCTCTACCGGCTGCAGTTCTTCTCGGATCATCTTCAAATTTCGCATGAAGGTGCGTTACCATAAAGCAAAGACGCCAATCGTTTTTGGTGTGGGCGGAGTCATCGTTGCCATGGTAACAACATTTTTTGTCGAAATATTCTAGAACCTGTAACTTCTGCACTTTTTACCCGATTGTCATGAAATTTATATTTGTATTAAAATTTATATTTAAATTTATATTTAAATTTAAATTTAAAAATAAAAATTTAATATTTGTATTAAAATTTGTATTTAAATTTATGATTGTCATGAAATATATATATATATATAGGACATGTTATATCGGCCCTGTGTGCCAAATTCCATGACAATCGGGTAAAAACAGCACAAGTTACAGGTTCTACAATATTTCCACAAAAATGTTGTTACCGTGGCAACGATGACTCCGCCCACACCAAAAACGATTGGCGTCTTCGCTTTACCATAACGCACCTTCATGCCAAATTTGAATACCATCCGAGATCGGGTAAAAACTGCCCACCAGGTCACTGCGACCTTTATTTCACCTTTACCTTGACCTTGATCATATTTCCCTTCCGCTCTCTAACTCAGCCCCTAATTGACCTAGCGCGACCAAACTTGGTATGCTTACACATCTTGGGGAGAAGGTCTGTCGCATATCAAAACCACCACTGCCCTTGACCTTAGTTTGACCTTCACCATCGACTTACATTTCCTATTCGGCCTCCTAGGGTAACCAGATTCCATATACTTGCACATCTGAGGCACACCAGTTGTCTAACAAACCTTTGTCTTTGTGACTTATTTAACTTTACCTGCCTTCTACGTCCTTACAGAGATATTCTATTCATACTAGATCACGGGGGATACATGTAGTTGGCGACAACTGCTCGTTTCTAGTTTCATATATTCCTTCAATCCGTATGTTTCAATGTTTATCATCTTCATTTTTGTTTTATCTCTAGTTTTCAATTGAAGTCTCTTAATTACTTTTTTTAAGATGGCATCTTTAACTTGTTTTTTCTAGGCTCTTCTTGGGTTACTAGATATACTACCTGCAGTGTACTGTAATATGCTCTGTAACAATTCTGTTCTGTATGTGTCTCCTAATGAAATTTTATGCCTTGTAAGTTGTGAAAATTCAAAAACTTCCTGAACCCCCTGACCAGGCTTCGCCCTGGACCTGACCGCCTCCCCCCCTGTTGGGTTTTTATTTTCAGCTGAAAACACAAATTGTCATTCCCATCCCTGTATATATTACGTATATAGTTTCTGGCTATGTCATCAATTTCTACTTAACGTCTGCAGACTTCTGTTTAGTAAAGTTAAAAGTAAAAAGTAAATCTTATGTTATATTTGTGTATGCGGAGTAGTATTTCAATTATGATAAACAAGTTTTCTGTGGTCTTATTATAGACTCTCATTTGTTGGTTACGTAAGAGAAAACCCTGATCTTGTGTGAGAAACCAGGACCGTAGTTAACCCATTTTACCCGTGAGGGGGCAAAGCCATGGTGTGGTGTGTTCTGGGAAGGTGAATACGATTGACAATGTATTTATCTAATTTTTTAGGGGCAGGGCAGCTGCCTCCCTAGCTACGGCCCAGGAAACTAGCTCAAGTGTATTAATAATTTTAATTCCCATGTAAAGGATAATTAATGTAAAATATACTAGCATAGTTATGTTTATTATATCGATTTTTGTAATGTGCAGCAATGTTTTTTCTAAACTTATAATAATAATGTACATTCAGTGTTACGTGTATATAAAGCCTTTATATGAAATAAAATTATTTACTTAACTATTAATGTTTGAACTTTTTCTGCTGGCGTGATTTATTTTTTATTTTTTATTTATTAATTTACAGATGGTACATTGAAAACAGATTGTCAACGTGATCTTGCGAGCTCCTCACCATCAGTAAAATTATGATTTTATTATTAGACACGTATGTGAAAAAATATAATAGTCTAAAGAGTAAAATCTATCTCCCCTGAGCACTGATCTCTATATATTAACATATTAACTCTATAAATAGAGATGTAGAGATCAGTGCCCCCTGAGACCTGCTATTTAATTAATTCACGACCTCCAGCGCCAATTGGCTGATTTGGGAGCGTGGCGCAGCGATGCTGTGGCGATTGATAATAATGTAGAAATTAAGTTCATGATTTATATTCATATGAAAAGAACAACATTTATATATTGTAACGTATTAAAAATTTTAAATTAAATATTCTTCAAATATTTTAAAAGGAATATTGAGGATTGCATGCGAACTATTTTATTTGCTTGTAATATATCCTTAATAAATCATGCCTTCGAATAATGTCTTGAATGTCAGGAATACAAGTTAGAAACGTTTTCTCCTTGTTTTATTTTTTTTCTGCTTTTTGGATGTTATTGTTGAGTTAAATGTATAGGTAATGAATCATGTATTTGCATAAGCTAAATTAAAGTCATTTTAATAACTAATTTACTTGTAATAATAAGTGGCAGTTTGTTAACTGTCAATGTAACGAACACTGAGTCTGACACAGTGACAGTGTCTCTGTCAATATAGACTATAGTATAGAGTGTTCTCTAGTCACTAGTGGCTGCTGCACTCTATTAGTATTACTGTGTAGGTTGTGCACAATGGCGTGCGCGCTATGTGTTGCAGGGGTGTATTGGACGGTATTGAAGTGAAGTTATTAGGTCAAATCAAACATTAAGACTCTTACTGGTAGTGGTACTGCCTACTGGTAGTGGTAGGTCTAGTACTGACAATTAAGTTGTATTTATTAACCATAATTTTATTATTGAAACGGTCCAAGTGCCTGTGTCTCTGTGAGTCTGCAGTCGACCGAGCCTGGGCTGAGGCTGAGGTCGGGAATTTTGAAGCAGTGGAAGTTGACTCATAACTGACCGATGACTGTATTAATAATATTAGGGCGTGTTTGTTTGGTCGGATCCACGGATCTCGATCCACTGCCTGGATCTGTGGATCTGACTGTTTGGTCGGATTGCCGTTTTTGCGTTTGTTTGGGTTAGGGTTCGATCCAATGGATCGAGATCCGTGGACTCGACCAAACAAACACGCCCTTACTAGAGCTCATAGGGTCTATGTCCCCCAGGATAATGCCGGAACGTACCCAAGGTACGGTCCGGTATACCGGAACGTAACTACCCTGGTAACTAGCTGATATGGTTAGGGTTAGTGAGTAGGCGTAGGCGACTCCCTAGACTTGTTAGTGGAGTAGGTGAGGTACAGTCCGGCATATTAGATAGTACCAGGGTACGTTCCAGCAGTACCCTGGTGGACAAGACCCTCTCAGCCTTACTAGACCCAAATGTCAATACAGACAGTAGGGATGACATATGAGAAAGTTCTTGGTGCGTCGTCATGCACGCAGGCTAGCTAAATAACCTATTTCAGTATTTAAATTAAACTAGGCCCACTCACTCAATCCTAGTTTGGGAAATTAGGTTGTATGTGATGATGGCCATTCAGTATGTCAGTCATGCCCTTGGCTCCTGGGTGGAGCATAGGCCACTGTTGATGGCCATAATATGGGATATTTATCATGCAAGGCTGCCCAGCTATATAAGAACATTTTCCTCTCATTAAAGTAGGATTTCGAAATCAATAAATCGAATTTATAAACCTAAAATGCGTGCCATTATGGAGTGAGTAAGGAGACGAACTCTGACGCAATGCCAGTCATTAATTCTGCAGTGTAGCTCTACCAATCGCTTTGACAATAAACGTTACAGTTGCTTGTTTGTCGCTTCAGTGTGTCTTTACCTCAAATCATTAGCTGAGCATCCTCAAAAAATGTATAGTACTCACACATCTGTTATCGTTGATCGTAGTGCAAACCGACTTTACTCGCCACATCCTAGGCAAGAACCAAAATAACGAGGCAAAATAATCATGATGGGGGACTTCCTATAACCTAACCTGGGCTGCTCGAACTGAAAAGTTAAAGAGACAGTATACACAGCTTTCCCAGCTAATAATTTAATGTTCTAGGAAAATTCCCACAATGTTTCACAAAGGTTCCAAGAACGTTTTGATGGCATTTTCTAGAACGTGGCATTTTGTGTGTATTCGCGCGAGGATAATATATTCAAAAGACAGATATTTTACAGACACAAACGACAATTTGAGAACACAAGTTAAGTCCACAAGAGAAAGCTATTTTATGAGAAGAAGAGACGTACACTACATTATCAAGCTTTAAAAGATAGTTACATGGACTTCATTTTCATTTTCATTTCGTTTAAATATCGTTGACACAATGAAGTTAATTATGTGGTTTTATTTGTTTTATTGCAGATAGACATCAGAGTAGAGGTCTATGCTCATGAAATTGGGTGTTGTTCTTCTCAACTTCACACCATCACTTCAGGGAAGAGTATGTTATTAGTCTTTGTAGGGGTGATCAAGACGAAATAACATGTGGTCAAGAAAAGTATGTATTCTGTATGACAGTGCGCTATGGAAGTACGTTTGATGTTGGAGCATTCCTAAACCATGCCGCCTTCATCAGGTAAGATACGATGTAACCTATGACTAATGTGTGTGCTGCATTTAATGCTAGGCAGACAGGATTAAAATATCAACTACAACTTCCACTGCAAAACCTTGAAGTTTATGAACTAATAAATGACATGTATGTGCATTAAATTATCGTAAGAAAGTCTAAAATGGTTACATTTTCATCTCTGTGTTCGGCATTTATTTGTGAGTATTTGTCATTAACAGGTGAACTATGGGGTCATCATTTGATGCCCCAACAGATCAGCGTGGACTGCCTCCTGCCAAGTGGTATTTTGGTAACACTGACGTGTTCCCGTGACGCAGCTCTAAAGAAAGTAAAAAGAGAACTTTGGCAAGATGCCAAGAAGTAAGCAGAGTACAGTTGTAGCAGTGTGATGTTCATGTACTTATGATAAATATATTTAGTTTAGCCAAATAATAACACTAGGACAATAACAGCTCTTTATTATGTATGATTATGTTTATCGTCTTTCACTCTCAACCAAGTCTAAGCGTTATCTATACTCTGAGATATGATCGAATCTAAAGCATCTGTACTTCTTTGCAAAAAGTTTTAATGTGATGTTTAGGGATACCTTTGTGATTGTTTAGAGGAGTAAACCTGTTCAAACCCCTACAAGCTATATTGTACTACTTCCATTCCTAACTAATTCCATCCCACAATAGCCACACAATGGCAGGATCAAGGTGATGCCACACGTGACCCAATAGCAGGGTTCTCCCCAGCAGGGCTTGAAACTAACGCTCGCCCGCTCGCCCGAGGCTAGTAGAAATCAGTAAGGGCTAGTAGAATCTCTGGTCTGACCAGCCCTGTTGGCGAGTGGAATTTTTATATTCATAATGCGCGCGTTCATTTTACATACGGCCAGGGTTGCACAATACGCTGCAAACGTACATGTCTAGACGCATTGTCTGGCTTCCTTGATACAAAGTATAACATCCCGTGTTTAACAACACAATGTTTTTAACACAATTATTAACACAATGTTTCGTGTCAATTTTCAATTTTTACTCATCTGTGACTTGACACAGTGTTAGTAATGTTAGTAATGTTAGTAA